AAGTTCAAAATTTGTTTTCTGAAAAACATTTCCTTTTATTTCATTAATGTTTTCTACAGTCTTGACTATCACATCAATAACCTTCAACACTACAGTTTTGGGTACAGAAAAATGAAGAATATGAAATGGAATTATTTCAAGACATGGTGGAATAAGACAAATAAAAAAGGCTATTTTTTTTTTCAGTATCTGTTAATCTAGTCACAATAACAAAATCATAGGATGACACTGAATCATATCAGGGCATGTCATATTTAAAATCTCATAAATTTGAGAGACTTTTATATTGTCATACCAAATCACCTGGTTACATATTTTTTATTATATGACAGAAAGATAGGCCTGTGGTTAGAGGATTAACCTGGAAAAGCTGAAGTCAAGTTTTCTGTCAGCCATGAATTATTTGCATGGTTCTGGACAATGCCATGGGCAGGGGTGTCAGTTGCCATGGAGAGGCTGATCTTACCTCACTGGGTTGCAGTGATCCTTTGTGCTCATCTCTTGTAGACTTCCTGCTTCAATTTCCCATAGAACTAGGATAAAACTCCTGTACCTCTGAGCGTTAGTGCCACAATCAGGGAAACATTCAGTCTGTGGCTCATCTAGGAATTAATACCAGAGCGTTCCTGTGCCTGCTGATTACTGGGATGAGTGTCACTGTAGTGGTTACTCTGTGTGGCCAAGCCATGTGTCTGGCTGAAGTCCCACCAGCTCCAGTCAGTCTACAGATGTTTAACTATCCCTGGATGCTCTGGGGGATGTGATACAGACGGGAGTCAAGGGCTCGCTGACAACCCCTCCTCTGTCCTTGGGAAAATTTCCTGTAGTTCCTGGCACATGGAGCTAAAACCCTTGCGAAGTGTTCAGACACTGATGCACTGAGTGCACAGTAGAAGGACAGACAGACTGAAAAGTCAGGACTCTATTAATGTTTTCATTTCAAGAACAGCCATGTCCTTTCTTCCTTCCAACACATAAGGTCATAAAGGCATGATCATGCAATCAGCAGTGATTGAATAACCATGAGTTACTGTCTGACACTGGAACCTTTCCAATTAATCAAAAGCATCAACTGTGAAATGAAAATACATTTCAAAGCCTGCCCTTAAACTCCCTTGCAGTTTACTTGACAACTGGGGCATGTTAAGAGCATTATTAGTAACTGCAACCTGTTTTACAGGTTTCAGCCTTTTCCTTAACATTAACTCCATATCCACTCCTGAAGAGAAAACAGCAATTTACTGTAGCAAAAAACCTTTAGTGCAAGTTCTCTTTCTTTGCTTGACATTAGATCCTGCTAACTATAAAACAGCCTAACTATAAAACTTGTGTAAATGTTTTCCTTACCTGTAAAAAGGAGTTAAAAAAAAATTCAATAATCTATTTTTCCCTCTTTACTCTGTATATGTACTACCCATTAAAATATATGTTTAAAGAGAAGTTCATCCCATCTTCCCCATTCACATTTCTGTAACTATTTGAATGACTTTCAAACATGGCATTTTTCTATGTCTCTTGTTAAGATTACACTATTAGCTTTGGACGCCTAAAGAAAAATTTTGCCTTGGCCTTTACATGCCTAAAGTAAACAAGACTGAGAAATTTTCGGATAGCATAGAAAAGAGTAGTTTCATTGAATGTTTTTTTTTTCTAATACAGTAACATTGTTTAGAGGATATAAACACCAGCTAGAAGAAAGCCGAATGAATGAAAGAACTCCAGTTTCTGTGAGACTTACAGTGAGCTGCTTGAGCTCACAAGCCAGATCTCTTGCTCTCATCACCATGTCCTACTACCTTTATTTTCTTATTTGGTTAAGAGGTTTCTTATTTGAGATATTCCTAGTGAAAGGAATAGGAATTTTTGGTGTGAGTGCGATTCTAGTAACAATAATACTTTTCACCCTTAACTCTGGTAACAAATAAATGTTAATGGTAAAGTCATGAAGTCATGTTCTCAAAAACTGACTGATAGTGTTTGGATAAGTTTTTTTGAAGGAATACATTGCCCTTCTGCCTGTTTTAACTAAAGAGGTCTTTTATAGAATCAATAGTAAGAAAGACTTTAGATAAGTCCTACCCCTTGGTACTTTTTTCCAATTCAGGCATTGGGTAATTTTATTAAAAATATTATTTAATGACTATTCAGCATTTTCATTCTCATGAGATACAGTGCAAACATTAATTAAACATCACCAAAGCCAGAAACCTCGCTCGGAAATTCTAAACCCATTTTACAAACAAGGACCTGGAGCCAGAGATCTTTCAGTACCAGAGAGATCACAACTTGAAGCTCCTTGGGATAATGAGAGTCTAGAAAAATGAATGGCCCTGCAGCTAGAGCTACCTCAAAGAACATCATCCTGACTCTGTCTTGACTTAGGGCAGTTTATTTTAGTTCTCAAGGAAAGCCCTTTCTGGGTTTTCTTCAGGGATGAAGGTCTCTAGCAGTCTGTCAGATTGAGGCTGTTCATACAAAATTATGACAGAGTCATTGGGTTATGTACATTCAGAAAAGAAGTGAGCCCATTTCCATAGTCCAATCATTAGAGTATCCACCCAGAATCATATTTCTCTCCAATGAATAATTAACTTCATGCACGTGCAACAGTAAGAAAAAGTGAAGACTGAGAAAGCTCTGTTTGCAGTTCCAATGAATAATTAACTTCATGCACGTGAACAGTAAGGAAAAGTGAAGACTGAGAAAGATCTGTTTGCAGCTTTTTCACTTATGTTATATATGGTTCATTGATTTGAACACAAATTTTCAAGTGACAGAACACAACACTGGGGCAAAGACAGAAAGACAGATATGTCCTGTCCATCTGTAGAGGGGTAGCACGTTAGCATAGCTGTAACTGCAGAGCTTGTCTACACAGAATTTAACTAACTATCCCACAACTTTTCTAAAAGTCTTACCAATTTCAGTGATTCTCTCTAGGGGAGAAGGGATAGGTTTTTACATTATCATATGTTTTTACATTACTGATGCTATCCAATTCACTTTGACCACCTCCAGTTTGGTGACTAGATCCTGCCAGGAAGACAGGATTTTCTTCTGAAAATATTAAAGCCATCCACCTCTTCCTATGTATTATCTAGCAATCTTTGGTACTTACTTTCAGAGGACTGAAATAAGGACAAAATTTAGGAGCAAGGACAGATTTTTCCTTGCTTTTGGCATATTTTTTTCAGTCACTTGGCCATAAATAGTTGAAATGTTGGAAAGCAGCCTAATTTCTTTGTAGTCTAGTTGTTATTTGTTTTTCTTTTTGCTGTTTTGGTTTCCTGTTTCTCATTTCTGACTAATCCCCTATCTTCTTCCTAGCCAGGGTTCTGGATGATTGGTCAGTTAGAATATATCTTTGTGCTAATCTTTGACTACCTATTTCATAAGAGGGTCCTTGCTCCTATAGACACCAGACATTTAACATTATTGACTTGTATATCATTTGCTCTGGCTCCAGAAAACCTCCAGTTCTTTCTTAAACAAAGGGGAAGGAGAACAATTTTGACATTCTTCTAAGCATTACTTATCTCACTCTTCATTAACTTCTAAAGTAGGCCAAACCTGCTATGTCCTAGAAAAGTCTATCACTCTTCATTGACTCTAAAAGAAGTCCCGAGGTGTACAGTTTAGCCATCTACATCTGAAATACTTTCCAAATCTCAGATGAGATGAATTCTAACCCAGGCCATCTGAACTCCTTCCTGTGTGTTGTGAAATGGGACAGAAGTGTGAAAAAACTCCAAATGTCCAAGAAGGCTGAGAGACTTGTCCATTTCATGACTCCTCCATAGGATCCACTTGTGAGATTTCTAGGAAGCCTCATGTTAAATGATACAACACATTTTTACACCACTTTGATTAAGGCAGAAACTGACTGAGGCTTCTTCAGTCTCTTCCATAACACATTCTTCTGTCTAATCTTTGGAATGTACCCTGTAGCTTTTTTTTCACTTGTTTTGGAATGTTAAGTGAATAAACAAGTCCAGTACAGAAATTTTTACATTGAACATTTATGACACTGCCTGATTTGAGTGTAGCTGGGTGGCAACACTACTTGAATCCTCTTCTAAGAGATTGGCTAAACATAAGGACACAACCTGTCTGAATTCATGCTCCTTGCTCTAACTGCTTGGGTAGTTTTCCTTAACACAGCAACTATAATTTATCTTCCTAGCAGTGGGTAATAATAGAGTCAGGGCAAAAGTTTATAATACTCTTGTCAACTACAACAATATCCTAATAACAAAAAATAGACTGTTGCAATATATTAACATGAGCATATGCACAAAAAGAAAAATTACTTTATGCTGACTTCTGAAATGTAAGTAGGCTCATGTTGAATAAATGGAGCTTTAAGTAGCAAACACACAGAAACCACTTCCCATATTGCTTTTCTAAAAATAACCACATGAAGTAATTGCATATAAGTCAAAATTTTGACAGATTTCACATAAACCAGTGACAATCTGGGCATGAAATTCCAGGAACAGAAACTCAATTTTTCACAATCTAAATGTATAAAAGTGAAGCCAGCGGGACGTTTTAGTACTAGCTTTGTAAAACAGAAGTATCAAGATTTCACTCAGGGGCTTAAAGAGTTTCTGATTTCATCTTGCTTCTGTTATTTTTTTAAATTGAAAAGGTAACACTGAAAATTCCGTCTGCATTTAGGATGTTCTCTAAAGAGTAAGACAAAGAGAAAAAGACAAAAGAAGGAAGGTTGCCAATTTCCTTGAATACCTTCTGAATTCTCAGTTGCCTGAGTGTTAACTCAAATCTGATGGTTTTCCTTTGCGTTCTCTAACCTTACACGGCAGGTGAGAAATGCCCAGAAGGGTTTGGCTCAGAGTTTTGTGGCCACTGTCACTGGCAGTGGTGGGCTCCCGGCGGGGCGAGGCCGCAGCCCCGAGCAGCCTCCTGAGCCCCAGCCCGGCTGCGCCCAGCCCCGGGGTGCGCAAGCGGTACCGGGTGTCTGAGAGAGGTGTCTGTACCTAGCTCCTCCTCTGGCGTCCCTGGAAAACTGAAGCTCGACTTGAGCAGATCGCCACCCTCTTCTTCTGAAAAGACAGAAACAAAGTAGCTATTAAATAACTCTGATATTTTTCTACATCCAGACATAACTCTCCACTAGTTTTTAAACCCACTCAGTGACACCTATTACCATTCAGGACCTCTGTTAATGTTAAGCTGTTGTGTTGCTATTATCTGCAGTATCTATCCCTTTGCCAGTTTTTCAAGTTTTCTTCTATTAGTATTATCAATTATTATTATTTTAATTTTCTAGACATTTTACAATCACTAATATCACATAATATTCATAAATGCCTTTTTTCTAACATCTTTTACATTGTTCTTTCCAATTTTTTTTTAGTTGTGTTAAATTGTATTGACTTTTAGCCTTCATGTAATTATTCAAGAAGAATCCTCTAGCATTTACCACACATTATTCTTAGGCCACTTTTATTACCTTTTGTACACAAACTTTTAATTCTGCCATTGTGAACTATGATAATGTTGTGAAGACTTTTTTTCCTAACACTACCATTTGCTTTTTTTTCCAGAGATAACTTCAGTAATTCTGAAAGACTATTTAAACTTGGATGATATGTCCATGCTGTATGAATGCCACCTGAATGGCACCAGAGTGCAGCTCTGAGCAACCCTGCTTATGAGCTGCAGTTGCCTCTGCATTGCCTTCTTGTCATGCTGGCACATAAACTAATTTTGGACCAGGCACCTAGTCTAGATATTTCTGTAATGGAGCTGCAAATGGAAAATTGGGTCAATAATGAATGAGAGGCAAGATTTGCTTCAGAATACGTACATTATGATACAAAATATGTCAGTAATATGTTTCATGTATTTACTTAATACTACATTTTTAATGTTTTTTATGTTTTTCCCTATTCTCGATATTTGCTGGTGTCTCAGGGGGGTGGGAATTACTGAGTATACACAGCCTTCCACTGTCTTCTTTCTTATCACCTGTGTATGTTACAAGACACCTCAGAAGAACTGGGGAAAAATGGAGTACTTCATATCCTCTCACTATACATTCAACCAGCAGCTCTTGAAAGAAAGATAAAATCAGGCATTGCAGACCATGTTTTTCTGGTGCACAAGCAAGGACTGATGGCTTCCAAATAACTCGCATCAGTTCATGTTATCATACCCTCAGGCAGACAGTTCTGTAAGGTCAAACCAGCTCAGACTTTTCTGAAGAGTGTCTCAATGAGACCAGCTGGTTTTTGTGGTGCAGCTTACAGCAGACACACAGTTTTGCCAGTTTCAATGCTCCATTTAACAAACGTAAGCATTTTGCATATTTCTTGGTCTTGGTTACACTTTTTATTTGTACTCAAATTTTATCCCAATTATCTCACAGCAAGCAAAATGAGTGAATATACTCATGTGGATCTCTCAAGCAATTGTTCCGAGGTTTTGACAATTTCTGAGGTTAAGAATATCTAATTGATAACAATGAGTTGTGTAGCAGAGATACTCCATAGAAAATTAGATCGAAGGATGTTAAAAATATTGGATAAGCTGAACTGTCAAATAAACATCCTGTTTATAAACTAAATTGTTAAATAAACTCAGTCTGCTAAAATACAGCCTACAAGAGATCTCAGTAAGTGATGGATGAAAAGTCATACACAATTTAAAAAATGACTGGCATATGAATTTAAATTAAACTTCATTTGGAGAGGTAATGGACAACTCTAATTAAATAAAAGCATAAATTAGGCAGTTTCCATGGAGACTTTGCTCACATGATCTGCCTGTATTGTATAACTCATATGCTTGTCCTCTAATGTGGCTGCACAGGAATCAGTTATAAGTAATGAAAGTTGTAACAAAAATATTCGGAAAGATCCTTTACATTCTTGTAAGTAAGTAGGAGATCTTACTGCTAACTTCAAAATCAAGAAGATAGTTTAATATTTTTGAAAAATATATTAATTGATTCCAAAGGTCTATCATGCACATATATTTAGAAACACATACAGAATGAATGCATAACATTTTTTTCACTTGCAAGAAATCAGCATCATAAAATAAATTTGCCCAAAACTAGACTAAGATGCTTTGAGCAGGCTGATTAAGACTAAACATTTGTGGGTGTGAAGTGTTTCAGGAAAAAGAAAAAAGGAGAAAAAAAAAAAGAAAAAAAAAGAAAAAAACCTATCTTCCAAAATTAAAGGGAGAGGTCATGCAATGAGATCGTAAGTCAGATTCTGACTTTGCTGCAAGCATTTCTGTGTGAATTTGGACAATCCACTTAATATCTTTCTGTCTCAATTTCCCATTAGAATTAGGATTCAAATTAATTTCTTTTTTGTAGCTGTGCTACATTTGTTAATGTCAGTGAGCCTGTTGTCTAGAAAAACCTACAGAGAGCACAAAGAGATAAAATGTTCTTCCTGCAGAAAAGTTATATTCTGTTATAAATAGGGTCAATTGCAGATATTTCAAAGGAACTTAGAATTCCTTTGTCATTCCCTTAGGTTTATGAATCTGTATGAGGGGTATGAATAGGTCTTAGTGATTAGTTTACTTCCTAATTATGAGGACTTCCTATTTACTTATATTTTATCACTATACATATTCACATCATTATTTCATTATTTCTATTGTCTTTTCAGAAGGCTTTTGTCATTTCAGCCATTGAAAAGATTCGATTTTTGTTTTCTGCACTTATGAAGCATAAATTAATCTAGAGTCTTGGTGACTCTTGCAGTTTTACACAGATAATCTTTGTATGAGATTAAACTGCACTCCAAACTCATATTATTCCTTCAGCAACAGACATACATGGCCTTTGTTTCTTCAGTTTAAATTTTTCCTAGAAATTACCATATTTATTATTGACCATACAAATGAAAAGCATGCCCTTCATTCATGAACACACAGCATTCATGAACGCTTCATATCTCATAGTAAAGGAGGCAGGCAGACTCTCACAGCATTCTGACTCATGCTGAAATGCAACTGTTAGAAATGAGTGCATTCATCTCATGCCATTCACCTTCTCTATCTCATAGATATACAGGGCCTCAGTTTGCCCTTTGCTACCTTCTGGTGGCACATTCTACACCAGTGGACATACAAGAAAGTCATGTGCTTAGAATGGAATGGTTCAATGGGCAATTAATTGCAAACAAAGAGATTATGAAAATTGGTTGATTTACAATGTAAGTTTTTTAACTGTGTATGGAACACAGTTCACACACAAGGGACATGTACAAACTGCTTCATCACAAGCAAGTCTAAATAGAAAACAAGACTCTTGTTCTGAACCTGAAACTAAAACATAGCAGGAAGTGTTCACTCTCAACAGGGCTCAAAAACATTGACAAAAAATGAAAGGCTCTAAAAATGCATAGAAATTTGCTTCTTTGAAAGCTCAGTGTATAGTAAAATGATGCTGTGATCTGCATAAGTAGGAGAGCAAAAACTATCACTTACATGTAGTATCTCATTTTCCTTTTTAAATATGTGATGTATCTGTCATTCAATCCAGTTCAACACTGCACAGATGACACTCTAAACTGTGATAGGAACTTGTCACAGCTGAAGTTCTCCAGACTTAAGCTTGGAAACGTCAGGAGATCTTGCTGAGTTGGAACCAGCTTGACACATCCAGACAGCTCATTCAACCCTGAAGCTACTGCATGTACAGTGGGAAATTACACAGACCAGTGCCCAAGATCAAGCTGGCATGGCACAGCTTTTGTCCCCAGTACAGGCTGGATGTCTGTCAGGAGAGTGGCCTGGTTTGTGCTGCTCCATACTCTGCTAAGGAGACGTTCTCTAGGGAAGCACCTAGCATGGGCCAAATCTGGTCAAGGATATGTGCTGAGACAGGGATGAATAATTACTTTGCTCACCCTTCAAATTTTGTCATCTCAGCTTTAACCTCTGTCTACTCTCTGAACCTGATCTATCAGTTCAAATTCTCTTTCTTCACCTGCAAAGTCTTGCCTCTTTGTTGGACCTCATTTTTTATGCATTCATTCTGCTCAATAAGCAGGCAAGCTGTTTCCATCCCCTAATTGTTCTGCTTTTATAACTTATCCATCCACAAAATAGGCACCAGTGTCAGTGGACTTGTTGCTCACATACTTTAAAAGTTTCACCTCAGCAAGACTTATAATCAACTGCCTTCTCCATCAAAACATAAGAGAAAGACTGAACTAGAACTGATACTGAACTTCTTAGTTCATAGGATTTTGATTTATTTATTATTGGCCTGCTCTGGACCTCACACCAATTCTTTTCACTGTGTGCTTTTCTTTTAGCCTGCAAGCTCCCTATGGAAGTCGTTGGGTTTTTTTAGTTTCTATATAGTGCCTGGTATTAGAAGTCTGGCAACAAGTGAGAGCAAACACAAAGTGTCTGAATTAAAGTGCAGCTGGAATTTCATTCAATCACATAATGACAGAATGTGTCCAGAGGCTGAATATGGGACACTCACCACATCACTCCACTATCTAAGGAAACAAAATCACCTCTCCCAGACTAGGGAAACTTGAAGATCTAGAAGACAAATCTCCTGTACCTCAAGTCCTGCTATGAAATCAAAGCATTTCTTGCAGGTGGTCTTTCACCCTGGACAAAGACATCCCCAGACTGCTCAGTGTATGTCATGAGAGCAGAGAACTGAGAACTAGTCCTAACCTCAGGGAGTCTACCAAAAGTTTGCATGCCTGGGAGATGTTATGGACTTCTCACCCCTCCTGACAGCTAATGGGATTGATTTGGACCTTAACCAAGAGGCCAAAAAAAACTTCTAGAAAACCTATTCCTTTCCTCACCCAATCCTCCAGAGTTTATATCCAATCTTTACCACATCTATAAAGCAAACTAGGCATGGTAAAGGCTCCTCCTCTGGCTATGAGGCCAACTGGCATGCTCTAGCCATATCTTCGAGAATAGGGTGGATCCATCCAAACCGTGATTCCCAAAGCCTGGGAATTATTTTGGACAGAAAAAATTAGTTGGCCATGTGTAAAATTAAGACAGGGATCTGTCTGAGCAGCATTACAAGTAATCA